AACAGCCAATACTTACATCTTTTGTTCCTTTGAAAAACATCAATCTTTTGGCAAAATAACCAGGTAACCAATCACCTTGGCGTAAATTCTCACACAATGGATGGCCAAGGTCATTCTTGGGTCGTATCTCATTTAATATTGACATCAAACCTACAAGTGAAAGTAAAACAAGTCATTGAAAATGACACAGTCCCCATTAAATTTATTAAAGTTATCTTTGTGCTCGTCATATTAAAGCGGAGGGGTTGTCGTGAGCAGGTCTTTGAAACTTGAGTTCCAAGTGGCGTATACAACATATTGTTTATTTACATCAAAACATTTTAAATGGTTTCTGAAGAAATAACCTTCTGTTATTCAAGCAATAATATATATCCACAAACATTGTACAACTCAATCAATTCTTAATACATTAATTGCTACACCTACCTTGCATGCCACAGTAAACAAAAGAGCCATAATCTGGGATATGATAAGCACCAAAACCATTGCCATCATCCCTTTCCTCAGAGTCACAACGATACAGAACACGATTCATGTCAGTCAGTGTCAGCTTGGAAGCAATGCTACGGAAGTCCATAGCACGGTTCTGACGGAGGTTACCACTCATTGATCGGACACGGAATCCAAACTGAGTAACACAGGAACGAATGAATGACACAGCTGTCCTTGCACTGTTTTTAAGTGACACTCTGTAGGAAATAAACATTGTTTGTGTAAAGTTCATGAATCCATTCCTTATAAATTTAAAGATGTGGGTGTAGAAGCAATCAGGTTATGTAAAATAAGCATCCATAAAACACATATGACATTGCGCCAAAGGGCATTGTGGGGGTAAAAAAAAAAACATAGTTGAACTCTGGTGACCTTGCCCTTTGTTATATAATATAATTCCCTTTATCATAGTTTGTTTCAATATAAATATGCATTGTCATAATTAATTTTGAATACAAACAAGTTTTGGGGTTGAACCACAGTGGGGAATCAGTCTACCGAATGTCCTTAAAGATGTAATATCTTACAAA